GGTTAAATCATTTTGCTAGACCTGGATTCTTTATCAGCAGGATGGTGATGACAATACATTCCTCATGAACTGTTGTGAGAACAAAACAGAAAATCATATGTAAGATGTTTGGCATGGTGCCTGACACACGGTAAATACTCAATAAATGTTAGCTATTACTATTATTAAGTCTGAGTCGTTGCAAGCTCACAGTGCCTGGCTCAATTTTATTCTGCATAAATAAACATTGTGCTAAATCCCTTAGCACACAAGATTCCAAGGCCAGTTCCTTTTCTGTCTTGGAAAAGTCAGAGGAGAGCTGTGATGCCCCAGAAGAATCTTTTCTAGGATGATAAAGGATCCAGCATGTGTGGCAGAAGCACTGGGAGTGTCTTCAAATTCATCTGCCTTTGCATTTATCTTCTCTGAGTCCACACCTTCTATGTATTTAATGGCAGACCAGAAATTTGAAGATCCTGAAATTGTATGTGAGTTCTCCCACTTCTGACAGTGCCCACCCCACCCCAAGCCCTTTCTCCTTGCCAATGTCCTGTGTGCTCCTTGGCCTATTGCTTGATCCCTGAAAGGGACAAGCTCAGGGAGATCTGGGAGCCCATAGCTATCAGTGAAAGAAAATGCATTCTTCGCTACTTCTGTCTTTGGCCTCAAAGCTGTTTACAGTTGGGAGGAAACTTTTAGTACCATCAAGCTCTCTCGTGCCTGCTCCCTACTATTCTGTAGAATCAGTGAATCCACCATTAGAGATTTTTTGGTTGGCTGGCAGACTGGGTCTGAAGGAGGGAATCAGACACTTGGAGCCTGAAATGCCAAATGCATCAGTCTAATTTATTCAGACACATTTTCATCTGGGTATTTTCTATACTATCAAACTTTGTATCCTTCAGTGAAGACATTTGTCTTAGCTGAATAAAATCTCTTAATGGTTTAATAAAAAGCACTTAACTCAGTTTTCTTAGTTTTATGAGTGCCTTGAGGTCCTGTAGGAGAGCAAACATCTTTGCCAGGATCATTGAGGGAAACATAATTATTTTTCTGCCTTCTGATATATTATTTTCTGGAAGGAACAGTTCCAGATGCTCATCATATGCTCACAAATTCTCTGCAGCTCCATCGAAGGACAGATTATTCTCAATGAGGAAATAAGTAGTGTTCCTTCTTCCTTCCATAGCTGACCTGCCAGTCCCTTCAAAGACATCTCTGCCTCTTTGTTCCATTCTTTGCTGAAATAGCATCAATACCATTATCATCACCAATTTGTTCTGTTCAGGATAAAGAAAGAAAAGAGTCTGGAGGTCAGTTAGAACCAAATGCCAGGAGCAAAAAGCCAAACAGGAAATTAGGTTAGTAGAAATTTCATGAGAACAAAAACAATTGAGGAAGGGAAGGAGGAATAAATGGCAAGAAACAGGGACGACGCAGAGATAAGGAGGGAGAGAGAGAGAGAGAGAGAGACACACACACACACACACACACACACACACACACACACACACCAGGAGAGCCAGGAAACAAGACACAGGCCAGGGGAGGGTGGACTGCAAAAGAAAAAAGTGTAAAGGAAAGGGAAGAAAATGTAGTAAATAAGAAAGCCAAGGTAAACTGGAACATAACACATGAACAGCAGAGACAGCAAGAATCACAGAAAGGGAAAGAGAAAGAGTGGGAGTGTAGCGAGAAAAGGAGGAAGAGGATAAAAAGAATATGTGGGGAGGAGAGAAAAAAAGTAACACATTTAGGAATTGTGGATGGTTGGAACGGAGAGTTTCATTAATGGAAATGAGCATAAGGGTGGTTTTTGTTTTGCCAATAAGTAATAAAGGCATGAGGGGTTAAGTGACCTTTTATCCATCTGATCTTCATACAATTGAACAATTATTTCTTGCACACCCTCTGTGTGCACTGCACAATGCCAGACACCAGGGACACAGTGTTGAATAAGGCAAACAAGGTCCTTATCCACAAGGAGCTCACAGGACAGTGGGGGCATATGGACAGGTGAACTGGCCCACACCATGGGGTGAGGGTTAGGGTAGTGTTGGAATCATTGAAACCTGCAGAAGAGTCCCCGGACAGTTCCGGCACAGGCAGCGAAAGGGGAAGGTGACAGTGTACCCACCAGAGTGAAACACAAACCCAAAGGCCAGCCTCCAAGAGCCCTCCAGCCTCAGAGATGCTCAGCCACAGAACCTGGACTGCTGCTCAAACTTGTAGTTCCCAGCCCCCACCATCTGGCTCCTTTGGGGTTTGGTTTTGAGTCCTTCAAAGCCCGACCTCCTGACAACTCATCTCTAACCTGCATATGAAGGATCAAATCCAATAGCAGCCCCCTTTCCCATCTGTCATGGAGTCACTCAGTGTCTCTCTCTTCTCTTCAGAATCAACTGCAAACTCCTAACATCCAGGCCCTTTTCTTTCTGGCCTGTATTTTCATTTTCCTTTTTTTCGAGACAGAGTCTTGTCTGTCACTCAGGCTGGAATGCAGTGGTGCAATCTCGGCTCACTGCAACCTCTGCCTCCTGTGTTCAAACAATTCTCCTGCCTCAGCCTCCCAAGTAGCTGGGATTACAGGCTCATGCCACCATACCCGGCTAATTTTTCCATTTTTAGTAGAGACAGGGTTTCACCATGTTGGCCAGGCTGGTCTCAAAATCTTGACCTCAGGTGATCCACCTGCCTCAGCCTCCCAAAGTGATGGGATTCCAGGCATGAGCCACCACACCCAACCTATTGTGCCCATTTTCTTACCCACTCCCCTGTCTCCCCATCATGTCCCAACCATACTGAAGTGCTTGCAGGTCTGTGAAGGGGCCTCCATTCTTTTCCAGGTAAGAATCTCCTGCTGGGACATGTTTCCTGTCCCTGCCCACCCCCACCCTTACAGTGCCCTTGATATACACTTTGAACTCACCCTAAGATTCAGCTGAGGTTCCACATCCTCTCCTTCTGCTCCTGAAAAGCTTTCCTCCACTAACCTCTCTTGGTGAGCCTGGGAACGTCAGGAGTCCCTTTCCCTAGGCCCTCACTGCACCTCTGTCATAGCAGTTACCACACCCGATGTCCTAACCATTTCTGGACTAGTCTGTCTTTCCTGATAGACTACAGGGCCTTTGAAGGCACGGATTGGAGCCTGGAACATTCATCTATTCACCACTGGTGACTTGCATAGCTCTTTGCTTACACAAAGTGTTTTATAAATGCTTTAGGGAGCTGACTTGAAGAGTCCCCAGTGAGCTGAGTTGCAGGCAATCCCTAACTCGGTTTGGAGAGTCAACCCCTCTTCCCATTTGATACAAGACACGTTTTGATCTGCAAAATGGAACAGCAGACTTCCCCAAGAGCGCCCACCAGGTGAGGTTTCCATTGGGTGAGGTCTTGGAACTTTCCTGATTGTGCTGGTGCACAGACGAAGCCCAGGGAGGGTGGTAGGCTTGAATTTCTGCTCTCTTAGTACAAGCCTCACATTTTATAGACCCTTAGAGAAATTTCAGTGAGTTTGGCTCCTATCATCAATCATGCAGGGAGTAAAGGGGTCTTGATGCCTTCATTTATTGCGTTCTTTCTAGCCAGTTAATTCATTCATATTAATATACTCAAGTAATAATTATAAAGTGCCAGCCTAGATATTCACCTTCCTAATGCGTCTTCTCAGTGTACATTTATTTTCATATGCCTGGGGTACTGAATGTTACTGTCCTTTGCTGAGTTAACTTTAATCAGCATGTTTCTCATTGGCCTATGGTAGCACATGAGCTTATGGTTCCTGCGATTCATTTTATCTTTTTAAATTTAATAAGATACAACTTGGACGGCCATTAAGGGTCTCCTGTTGTGTGTGTAAGAGCCCAGAACAAACATGGATAAAATTAACTCTGGTTTATTATGTTCAGCAAGAAAAGTTTTATCCTAGCCAGGCCACAAAGGCAAAGTCTGGGAAGAGCTGTGTCCACTTGTTCCTCACTTTTCTGTCTCCATGTGACATACATTATGTGACAATTAAATAGGTCTGATTAATGTGATCATCTTGGAGGCTGATTCAGATCACCCCAGTGCAGCCTAGCGGACTTCACTCATTCTTTCATTCAACAAACATTTATCAAGGACTCTGTGCTTGCTCGTGTGCCACAGGCTAGCACCTGGAGATGAAAAAACACTGTGTCTGCCATTGAAGAACTCACAGCTTACATACCCAGAACATGACAATAAACTCACCATTGGTGTGTAGTGTGACAGTGCGAGGCAGGGTGTAGCTGGGGAGGCCGAGTGCATCAGGTGCACTCAGACCAACCCTAGACGCTTTTCAGTTGGCTCTGGTACAGAGGAATGACAACCAGAACAGATATCACTCCCAACTCCCAGCAGGAGGCACCAGGACAGCGCCTTCTGGGCAGAAGAGCATGCTTGTTCTTGGAGAAAAGTTCTATGTCAATCCAGACTCCCAGGTTCCTATCCAGGATACCAAAGTGAGGCTGGCCCTTGAGGATGACCTGGAATGCTATCTTCTAGTAGTGCTACAATCAGAAAGACACACACAAAAAAGCAAAACCCAATATTTAGCCACTGGGCAATCCCTCCACAGGCCCATTCACCACCCTCTTATTCAAGTCAGCCACAAGCATGTAGTCTGATCAGGTTTCTGCTCTGATTATTCTGCCAGGACTGTCTCTCATTCTATTGTGTTATGGATGCCTCAGAAGCATTAGCCATTCTCAGGGCTGGGAAAATGTCTGTCCTCTTCAAGCAGCAGAGGGGATAATCCCCTGTCTGTACCTGAAAACTCCTCCAATGAGGGTCTTAGTGGGGGAAGGGAGCACACTGGAACTCATCTCAGAATCTTATGCTCAGAATCAACCTTGAGGATGACTGAGAATTTTCTATACCCCAGGCTCTACTTTCTGGCATAGATGTTGGAAAGTGTTAACAGTGGCCTCTACCGACCAGATGTAGTATTACCACATACTTAAATCTCATCCACGTAATTTAATATTCATTCACTGAACCAGTAATTTTTCAGCAAACATTTATTGAATATTTATTATATGTAAGGCTCATAAAATAATGTTATTCACAGGGTGCAAGGATGAACGCCCCAATCTCCCTTCCCTAACCCCACATTTTCTCTCTCACTGGTCCAGATAATGTATGAAGTTTATAAATTTATCTCTCCTAGGTCTTAAAGCATGCTAATCCACTGTGACAATGCAGAAGGTTTTCAGTTTAAAGTTAAAGATTACTCCTTGGTAGTCATTAACACTTTAGTAGAAATTAGTTTATTCTGTCAGAAAAAGGGAACTTTTGGGTGAATAAATACAGAACCATGTAAGTCTGGATTAATAAAAGGGATAAGAAGTGATGTAGGATATGCTTCTAGCATGAGGTAGTACAGTGAGACTCAAAGAGCTAAAAAAGGCTGAGGGGGAATTTAAGTCATTAGGCACTTAGAGAAAAGAGGGCGGTCAGAAAAGAGGCAGTATGAATAGTGGCTTTGGAGGATATGCTCTGAATTCAAATCTGGCCTCTCATTTACTAGCATCTGATTTCAGGTGAGCTTCTTAGCCTCTCTAATTCTTCCTCTAAAATCGTCATATAACCTGTTGGAACTAAGCTATGAATGTCATGTAAAGTACTCAGCACGATGCTGGGCATAATGTTAGCATTCAGTAAACATGAGTCAAGTCGTTACGACCAGAGAGGAGGAACAGGCTGTAAAGGAGGCTGTGGAAACAGCAGGGCAAACTCCACCCCTACCTCCTCTTCTTTCTTTCTTTCCTTCTTGCTTGATTCCTTGCTTACTTTTTTGTTTGTTTGTTTCTATGTTCATTCCTCCCTCTGCTCATCACATTCTCTGGGCCACTTGCTGCCTTCTCAACTTTATGGAGCTCTCCTGCAGCGAGTACAGGCTTCAGGGCACATCCAAGCTCCTGAGTGTGCAGCTGGAGAATGGAGCCAAGGATCAGTCCAGAGACGTGTAGGAGGAGTCCTCGGGTCACAGTCAGGTCTGAGACTGGGAGAAAGGTGTTAGTGTGCATGCACAGACGAGGCCCTGTGGCCATTCCTGCCTCTCCTGCCTCGGCTCCTTCTACTCAGCCGCTATCACCACCTGAACTTGCACCTTCTGAGAAACATGAAGACAGAGCTACTTCTTAGTATTTATCTAGAATCTCTCCAGAATTCTATTCCTTTAGATTGGAGGTAGATGTGTGGATGGTTGTGCGTTTTCCAAAATTAGCATGCCTCATTAGCTTAGCTCAGAAGCAACTGGGAAATACAGCTACCCACTGCAGCTGGGAGGTCTTTCAAAGCAACCTACCGGCCACCAAGTGTATCAGAGGGACATGATAAGATCTATAGAACCCACATATCAGATTCAGGGTTCAGTTGCCTCTGTGAGTCCATAATCAGTGAGTAGCCAAGCAGTGCTGTTATTTTAGCTTGGCATCAAGACAGTATGTGGGGCTGATCTGACTGTAAACCTCAGAACTCCGGCTGCCACTTTCAGCCAGAAGATCTATGTGAAAAAGAGCTAATGGGGCTCATGGGAAACTTGAGAATTTAGGGAGCTGGGTTTGAGGTGATAGGTCAACAGGATTAAAATCCATAGGGAGGAAAGCCAGATGAAGTCTCCCCCGCCCACTTGGAGAGTCCCCACATGAGCAGCCTAATCATCCTAAAACGGAAGAGACTGAAGTCAGTCAGGTTCTACCTGGGAATACTGCATTGCTGGTGGAGGGAAAGTTGTCAGGGGTGCCCTAGGGAGGGTCCTCTGAAGGTATTTTAACCCAGTGCTAGGAAAATAGTTGCCCCAAATTCCTCAAAAAAAAAAAAAAAAAAACAGAGTTAGACCATCAGTGGAGAGTGCCTTTCCTATCTCATAGAGGGGGCAATTGGGCAACCATTTAGGGAGCCAGAGAGTCAACATGGGGTGAAATCTTGCCAGAGATGGAGAACAAATTTGCCATGGTTTGAATCCCAGCACTACCTTGTGTGTAATCTTGAGGAAGTTTTCAAACTCGTCTAAACCTTAATTTTTTCTGCCTGTCAAGCACCTATTGTAAAGATGAAATGAGGTAATATATTTAAAGGGCTTTGCAAAGGTAAATGCTAAAAGTATACATACTAATGTAACCCATTTGCCTCAGGATTTACTAGCCTGTAACCATAGTCTAAAGTCCTATTTCCTTTTAATGTCTGTATCTGTATAGTATGAGCCCCACTGGCCTAATTGCCAGTGATCATAAGTAGAATTTAATAAGAGGATGCTGACAGCTTAAGCACAATTTCTAGAAAAAACAAAAGCAGGTCTTACCACAGGGAGGCAGCCACATTATCTTCCTATATAAACAAAGTCCCCTGATGTCCTTTCCACAGCAGCAGGAAACTGAGCCAGGCATGGATCCTCCCTCCTTTCATACACAGTCACCCTGGAGGCTGTCTGAAGGAAAGTGCAGATAGTGGATTTTTTTTTTTTTTTAATATAGGGAGGCTAGGTGTTCCCAAGGGATGCTGGACTGGATAGAATTCATTCACAGACAACAAAATGATTCCCAGGGTTGCCTCTGCCCTACCTCTTCAACCACACCTCCAAGGTAATTGAATGTTTACGAAGCACATAATCAGATGGAGAAATGGAAGCAGAGAGCTGAGGTGATTTTGTCCAAGGTCAGACCACGAATCAGTGTCTGGTCTTCACTCCATTTCTGCCCTCGATTGCACTCTGCTTTCTTTGTAAATTCATCCGAGTCCTGCCTGCCCATTCCTCCTTCTTCTTCTCTTCCTCCATACTAATGTTGCTCCATGTGGACAATATATGCACACATATTGAAAGTTGATGCAAGTTTTCTCACTTGAAAACTGTGTAAGACTATATGTATAAATTAAACTGGGAGTTTCTAATTATCCATTCTAAAGAGAAATGCCAATGAAGTGAAAAATCCAAGAGAGCAATTACACATAACCCCAAATGGTTTATTTTTAGTTGAGAATAAAATACAAAATATGTGCCCCCTCTATTTGCAGCATATTTAATTTCTCTATTATGCTCTGCCCAAGTGAATTTGCATTCTTCGAGCGCCCAGCAAGTGACAGCGTAGGCAGTGAGCCACTCAGAAGCATGCTGGGTGGCGAAGGAAGCCAGCTGGAGATTAAGCACTTGCTCTGCAAAGATCCACACTTAACTGGCCTATCCCCACCCCCAAGAATGATCAATCAGAGGCTGAAGGACTGAGGAAGGGAGTGAAACACTCCGCTCACAGAGGTAGAATGGACAGGGAACCTGTACCACCTTCTCCCAGCCCCGTGTTTGTATAAAAACTGACTGAGTATATGTAGTACATCTGTGCCACCGTTAGAACATCCTCCATCTAATTTTCTCCCAAATGCTTTTCTGTCTTTCTTCAGATCCTCCACTTAATCCCTGGCTGGCCTGCCCTCAATCCCAAGCCAGCAGCATCTTTCTGGGTCTCATATCTGTGTGACTTTTATTGTGCTGGGTGTGTCCATTTTCATTAGATGGTGCACTCCATGGGGCAGGGAGCCAGGTCTCCATGCAATGGCAAAACACTATGTATGCCCAACACTTTATAAACAATACAAACAGACAAAAAAATGGCTAATGGCTAAGATAAGCAGTTGACACAAAAATCCACATGTAGATAGCATCACAATGAGAGGTAAAAGCACAGATCTCCACGTGAGGTTACAGGAAGCAAGCTCTTCAAAAAGATAAATGTTACAACCTGGAAAATTTCATCAGCAAAAATATTCTAAGCAGGTTCCTCTGAGTATGTGTGGAACATATGAAAATGGCATATCTCCTCTTACGCGGGAGCTAGAAAAGAAATGTTATTAGTGGGAATGACATATGTGAGCTTCACTCTGAATAAATATACAATGTCTATATATATATATAGTATGCATAATAATAACACCTCAAATCTATATGGTGCTTTTCTTCCCAGGAACTAAAAATGATCCATGGTTGTTATTATCTCATTTATCCTTGCAGCTATTTTTTCCCTTATATTTTGCTTGCATATCATCAAAACACAGAAACATTTAAGAGCCATTATTTTGGCTCTTCTTTCCCAGTAAGTCCTACCTCTCCATTATACTCTCCTTAAAATTTAGTTAGAGGAAGGAACTAGTAATTCTATTATACAATCCTACAATTTATTCATAGGCCTAGATAATAGTCGCTCCCTGGTGCTGTTACGGGTCTCTAAAGACCAATAGTTATTAGTTTGCTGCCCTCACCCACATTCTGAGCTTCCAGAGTTCAAATTCCCAAAGGGTCATCATTTAGGGCTCTAGTAATATGTAAGGCAATATGTCTCTATTGCTTATAGAAGAGGAATTGCACACGATGCTGCTATTACCTGATAATGCTTTTGCAAAAACCAGTTAACAGATAAGTTACTCCACTTCCCAGCACCCCTGAAGAGACTGTTAGGTTTTTGATTGTGAGGTGTAGCTTCGGGAGGATGAGGAGAAAGTGTGGAATGTGAATTATTTCAGACAGGTCCAAAGATGGGAGGCCCAAGGAGCACCAACCTTAGGCGATCTCTAAGCAGCAAGAGGACACTGGGGACTCTGGATCAGGTGCTCAATGAGATATCAAGATAGGAAAGTGGAGTGGGGAGCAGCAAAGTTACTTACAGGGCAGTTCCCCCGAAAAGCAACATGGAAAACTGGACAGCGTTCTGAGTTAGGAAAGTACTTTGGCCATACATTATCTACTTGTGCTCTGGGAAATCTTGTCAATTAGACTCTAGAAAGCCCGTTTTATAGATGTGTAAACCTATGCCCAGAGAAACTGGTTTTCCTGAGATCACCCTGTCCTGTGATCATGGCATGCACTAAGCTGCTTCTAGGCTCTGGGAGACAGTTGGGTGGTCAGTTAGGACTCTCACCCCTTATCCTCAAGTCCTAAGGATGGAATGGAGCAAGAACAAGAGAGAAGGTTACCAGACATAGGTGTGTTGATAAATTTGTGGCCACTGGGCGAAATGACATTCCCTTGATTCTCCCACTTGGGCTGCATTTGGTCTTCCTGCTCAGCTCTCGTTTGTCCACACCATTGGCTTTAATGTTCCCCTTATCCTGCAGAGGTAAACTGCACCTTTAAATATCATTTTATTATAGGACTAGGAGGTTTGAGGAGAAGTTAGATACTCTGTAAAAAATGCCAGTTTTAGTCCTTAGATTGCTCAAATTGCTCATTATTTCTTGGATTCTCCTTTTTATATTTAGGTATTGACAGTAAGTTCGATAAGAACAAGGTTTGTTTTCTTTTTCTCATCCGGGATAGGAAAAGGAATACGTGGGAGCTCTCAATTCTATTTGAACAGAGTAATTGCTTTCTTAAAGGGAGAAATCTGGATTTTGAAAGATGAACATAAACTTACCAGTTTAATAAAAGAAGGAAAATACTATTTCAGGATACAGGGTCCAGCAGGTGCAAAGGCACAGTGGTGCCCTCCCAGAAGTGCATGTTCCTAGGACTGTATTTGTGTGGCAGAAACTTCCAGTAATGGGAAACAATAGGAAATAAAGCCAGAAGAGTATACAAAAGATCAGGATTTTGAGGACACTTTTGTGCCAAAGAGCTTGATTGTATTCCTGCCACCCCTGAAAAGCCGGCATGTCCACAACACTTACACGTCATCTCATGAAATGGCATAACCAACCCACCAACATTGCCATGCCTCCTCCCCAAGCCCTTAGATGACGGAGATCATAAGCAGAAAGGTACCATGATCCTTAAATTTACTTTGGCAGAAGGGTGTAAGAGAATGGAGAGATGATGCCAGGGGCAAGGAGACCAGAAGGAAGATATGGAGAAGAGTCTAGATGAGTCGATGAGAACCCATAGGGAAGCAGTGCCAGGGAACAGAGGGAAGGGAGGGGTCAGGGACACAGTGGTGGTGGGAAGGGCTTGGTGACCTGGGTGATAAAGAGCTTGCTGGGCGTCCGGAGGCCTCTGGGATTATATGAGCCGCGGGTGCCACAGACCTCCTCTTCTTGAGTCCAAGCCACTTCTGCCCTTAACAAACATTTAGAGAACAGTCTCTGTGTGCCTAGCATTGTTCTAAGCACTAAAAGAATTAAGTAGTTTAATCCTCACAATAGTCCATGAAGTCAGAGGGGTCACCTAGCTGGTACGTGGTCGAGCCTGGGTCCCAGTGTCTGTACTTCTGACAGCTATGCTATGCTGTCTTTCGGTTCATTCGGTAACATTCAACACAACCCGAGCACCTTCCTACCTATGCAAACATTTTACCCACAGTTCTAAGCACAGCCGCCTCACATAGCATGCTTCCTCTTACCAGGGGCAACAGTTAAAGCACTCTGTTTTCCAGAAGTTTCCAGACATCCCATTGACTTCACTCCAGGGCACACATGGTTACAGATGCCCTCAGATAATTTTATTCTCCTTAAGAATGAGCTCAGTGCTCACTGCTCCAATCTCAAGCTTGAGATCTTTTGCTAGTTTGCTCAGGCTGCCATAACAAATCACTACAGCTTAGGTGGCTCACACAACAGAAATTTCTTTTCTCACTGTTCTAGAGGTTGGAAGTCCAACATCAGCAGGGTAGGCAGGGTTAGCCCTCTCTGAGGCCTCTCTGCTTGGCTTGTGGTCTCTTCACATGGCTGGCCCACTGTGCACATGTACACCTGGTGCCTCTGGATGCCCTGATCTCCTCTTAGAAGACACAAATCATTGGATTAGGGCCCAACCTAATGGCCTCATTTTAACTTAATCATCTCTTTAAAGACCTTATCTGTAAATATGGTCAAATTCTGAGGTTCTGGAAGTTAAGACTTCAACATAGGAAGTTGGTGGGACACAAGCTAGCCCACACCAGGTGTCTTCTCCCCATCATGTCCACCTACCTGGTTCCTAAATGCAAGTTCCTCCCAAAGACACATCTCTGGGAAGATCTCATATTATAGAAATAATGTGCATTAAATTGAAATATATCCACCAGTATCATGGATCTTTGCGAACATGGAGAATTTGTGTGTGTGGGAGAGTCCTAAAATGAGGCCCCTCTGCCTTGCTTCCATAGAACACCTTGTGTGCTGACAGCTCAAGGGGAGGCAATGGTGATAAAAGCATACAGGCTGGCCATGAATCTCCTCATTTTAATGCACTTCATTAAAACCGGCATTTTTTATTACAAAGACCTGACAAAGTGAATATTAGACAGAAATGCATGTTAAGCTGCCATTGATCTTTCCGGGTAGATTGTACATTAAAGAGTGCACTTTCACACTCTGTTAGCTGCTCCCACATAAAAGGGAAGCAAGAATCAAAGGCAAAGTGCTTCAGCCTTATCCCTGCAGCATCACTATGGCTACCCAGTAGGGTCGAGTGGGCAGAATCAGACCAGGGACAGGTGCCACCCAAATCCCATGTCCAAGGGCTCTGTA